GCCTTTGAACGCAGACTCCACGCTTCCACAATCGTCCTCGCCTGCACCCACGCCGGTAAGCACACCCCCGGGAGACGTCCCACAGCTACACCGGCCTTCGCGGATTAGCGCACCAGGTGGTGACGCATCACACGACGACCCTCCGGCAACTGACGCGCCAATGATGGACACGCCCGTCATTCGACGCGGTGAGACGGCTCAAGATCTCGGTGGGAATCTCGGTGAGACAGCTCAAGAGCGCGGTGAGACGGCTCAAGAAAACGTTTCGCCTGTTAAGCACCTTCAAGTGACGGACCTGTTACATGGGTCCGCTTCTGGCTCAGATCGTCCTAGCATCTTCGCAGGCGACGATTTTAACGCGCGCAATGCTACAAAACTTGCTGTCAACGTGGCTCGCCAAATCGACGTTTCTCACGGAGTTGGATGCGGCTGATGCCAAAGCTCGCTCGGTCGTTTCAGCTGCTCCTTCAGTGGCTGGTCAAGTCCCTCCTGTCCAAATCACTTCGCTTCCAAGCTATTCGCCTTGCTCCACAACGCAATTCGTCGGTGTGCCAGCTTTCGATGTCGATCGTCTGGGTACGGTGCTCCTGCGCGCCGGCTATGGCGGTCTCGAAAATCTCGTTGAGGTTGAGCATCTGAGTGACCAAGACAGGGCCGACTTGTCGAAGTTGCTTAGCGAGGACCAGGAGATTCAGCGAGAGCTGCTGGTACCCCGGGATGCGTCAGTGGAGCCCAGCCCGAGTGATTTCCGCGATATGATTGCTGGCATCCCAGTTCAACGCGAATTAGCAGCACTCTTACGAGTGTATGAACCTCAGGGTCTGGCTCGTAAAGTATTCGGGATGTCCACACTCCTGAAGCGTATGTTGGACCGGCACCGTGTTTCACAGATTGCCTGCACTCTGGGTACCTCCAAGGCCACACTCGAATTGGGTAACTCTTCGGATGATGCTCGCAGCGCACGTCGTGATTTCGTGCTTCTCGAAAAAGCTTTCCAACAACAAGTGGCTGAACTTCTAGAACAGGCTCAGAGTCGGCTCTCCGAAAGTGATCGTGATTTCCAGCGGGCCACGGAAGAGCACGGCCGCCAAGAACAGATACTTCGAGATGAGAATGCCGACTTACAACGTCAACTTGAGGACTATCGCTTGACCAACCAACAACTTGAAGATCGACTACGTGGTGGAACGTTCAAGGTCGGTCGTGTGATGAACTTCCTAAATCGTCATAACGCTCGGGTTAGCGGCAATTGGCCGCGCCTGAAGGCACTCCTAGAGAAGTTCAAGGATGGTTCCCTCCCGCCTGACGCCTGGAAAACACAAATCCAGATCAATGCGGCCGGCGAGTTCGATGCTGACCCGGGCGCTTACGAATACGAGGCCGAGAGTGATGACGAAGAGTCCAAGGTCCCCGACATACCCAAGCCTCAGGTCACCATGAAAATTTCTACGGTGGACCTCACCGTCCTCTACCGAGTCTACTCCAGCCAAAATCCAACGCAAGTTGTTCAGTGGGTCTAAACCCAAAGCTCTCACGGACTTCTAGCTTCGGCCCAGTGTTTATACTCCGAGCATGACCGACACCCTGGATCCCACGACGGCTAAACAACTTTCTACGGTCAAGGCACGTGAGGGCTTGACTCAGCCTGTCATTTGGGACAAGCTTCGTGCGGATATCCAGGAACTCATGCGGTCGCACATGTCCTACGACGAGGCTCTCGCTGCAGCTCGAGCCGACGCTGAAATTCACTCGCACCTGGATGCTCGACATTTCATCTCCATGTTAGTGCGCATCATCAACTGGAAAAGCCTCGACCGAACCCCTTGGGCCAAGTACGTTCCGAGTTGGTGTTACAAGGAGGCTGAGTCCAAACTTGCCAAGGCTCTCACTTCAGGTGAAGTTCCCATTCGTTGGCCCAATTTACGCAAGGACATCCAGGATGACGCCGTGGAAATTATGGCAGCACTTTATGACAGTGTCACGGAAGAGGAGGACGATGAAGGGCGCGACGCGTCCTTCACCCCAGGTGACGACAGCCAAAGCAAACCTCAGCGTCGAACTACTCCTCCCCGACAGGAAAAGCGTGGTCGTGACACCACTTCGGATTCGTCATCCAAGGCCAAACCCAAGCGTGCGTCATCACCGCCCAAGAAGCGCGCCAAGTCAGGCAACGGCAAGAAATCGCGTCCTGGACAAGACCGAAAGCAGACGGCTCTGGCACGCAAGAGTTACGGCTCCCTGAGTGACTCCGAAAAATGGATCGTCGAAGTGCCGGGCCAAGGTATCCTGTCGTGGCGCCATCGCGGAATTCTGATGAAGTTTCCTCCTGGTACAGCTAATGCCGTGACGCAGTCATTCGAATTCCCAGACTACGCTCCCAATTTGGCCACGAAGATGTCCAGGCACTGCGAGAACGCTGGGATCCAGTTGTATTCAAGGAACTTATGGACACGAGATCTTGGGACGTCATGTTTGAAGATCGTTCCAAGTTTCTGATCCTTCACGTGCGGGACAACCTGAAGGTCATCGCTCGCGAGTCTCTGGATGCCATAGTGGCATTCATGTCTGTGCATCATTGCGCGATTTGGTGGTTCAGACACTGGGTGTTCATTGATTTGGAGACCGACGATCCTTACTCTGTGGAACTTCACCGCGAGCGCAAGGCCGAGTGCGACAAAGCCAAGAAAGAGTACAAGAAACTCCTGGATGATCGTGTCGATGCTGGTCTTGAGGAGACAATTCTGGATGAGCCTGGTTCGTGGACTATCCCTGCCAAGTGCTGTCACTGGATATTGATGCATGAGTCGCAAGTCAAGGATGACGGCACTCGCTACACCCTGAATGAGCAGATGGAGCTGTTGGATGACCAAGAGCCAGCGCGGGTCCAATGGAACACTTGCGCCTCGGATGAAGGCGGCATAAAGCATCTCCCGGAAAATTATCCGTTGAAAATGAAAGGTTCGCAGCGTTCATCGCAGAAGAACCGCGTCACCATGGACTTCGACTAATTGACTCTTCCAGAATCATTTTACATGTTTCATGTGAGAGCATTAGCGTTAACATCCAAAATACCGTTGTCATTCACATCCTCGAAGTTCACTGCCCTTCTTATTCATCGCACCACACCCGATACTTTTGTCAGTTTCGTACCCATTTCAACACTCTTAGTCAGCAAATGGATTCCGCATTCAACATCCCTAGTATCTCCACAATTCTTCATCACAAATCAAAAATCATAATCAGTTCACATAGGTCCACGGTCTAACATCGTTCAGGTAATATCATGCGGGTTGACTACACTCTCGGGTGGTCATCCCCAGCCTGCATCGCCTGAAAACGAGCTCGTGCTCGCGTTCCTTTGTTGAAATCATACAATAGTGATCCACAATTGAGCTGTGCCACCGGAATCCACTCTGGGTCATCATACCCCTTCCATTTGACGAGGTATTCTCGGGATCGTCTCGCAGTTCGGGTGCGTTTCACCCATCGTACATCCTGAATGGACTCCACTTCAAACACATCATTCGAGCTGTCAGGCTCCAGGCAATAATGCCGCATCGAAACCATCATCATCCGCAACGTCAACCTCGACTGTTGGTCGCTTTGGGAAAACTACTCGGCTTGAGTCGGCTAATGTGTACCCAAGGGTTAACACGATAACCTGTGTCTTTCACCTTCAGTCTCACACGGAAATCATCCCGAATTTCATCAATCCTGAATGGCCCGTGCCACATGTGTACTAGCTTCCGGCTCAATCCAGTCTGAACTTTCGGGATGTACAGCCAAACAGAGTCGCCCTTCTCAAAGCCAGCATTGACCCTCTCGGAGAGTTCCAACCATTTTCGGGTTTGTTCATCCGACCGCATCTTCTTAGCCTTCTTCTGGAGATCCTCAGCGCAAGCAAGTGCATAGCTGTACTTACGCTGTAGTTTCCGTCGCCACTCATAGGCGCTACGCTCAGGAACGCTCGAAGGTTTCGGTCCTAACATTGCCGAGACCGTACTTCGGGCATCCCAACCATGAACCAAATAGAAAGGAGTGTCCAGTCTAGTCGCGTCGAACGAGACATTCAGGGCGAACATCAGTCGTTCGGCGTGATCATCCCAGTCGGATTGATCCATCTCGGCGACATACGCTCGAACACTCCGAATAACCGTTTGTACGGATCTCTCCTGCTGTCCATTCGCCTGTGGACGATATCCGAGTGTAGCACGTTGTCGGCTACCTAAGAGTTCTCGGGACCTTGTGAACACTTCACTCATGAACCGCGGATCCTGATCGTGTCGTATCATGGAAGACGCCCCGAATCTCTGGAACACTTGCTCTTCATAAGCTTCAGCAACATCTTGCGCGGTAGTAGATGACATGGGTTTGCACATCACGTAACCTGAAAACATGTCCTGAAAAAACAAGAGGAAAGTATTCCCTCTGGCTGACCCGGGCATGTGAGTCATGAAATCCATAGAAACTGCTTCGAAAGGATATCGTGGTTCAATATTTCCTGGCAAAGGTCCAGCATTCGGGGGAGCTCCTTTTCCACTGACACAATCCACGCATTATTTCACAAAACGTTGGACGTCCGCATACATGCCGGGCCAGTAGAATTCCGTACGTAACTTCTCATGTGTCCGAGTGATCCCTTGATATCCACCTTGGAAATCTTCATGTGCATGATGCAACATGTCTTCCCGAAGTGAACTCGGGACTACCAGTCTCAGATTATCCATGGTCTTCCACGAACAGAGTGTAGAAGTCTGTACAACACTCCTCGGTCAACGAGAACGAACAGATCTGCGACCTTACTGATCTTCTTCAGACGTGTGGATGCGAACCTGTCCAGATTGTAATTTAGGAACGCCCTTATCTCTGCTAGATATTCGTCATTCTCTTGATGAATCTTGATCCGTCTCCAGCGTTCAGCCTGAAACTCTAGCGGTCCCATGGGCGGAACTCCATCGTCATCAACTTCTTGAGCTCGCGATCTCGTGAGTACTGCCATGACTAGGGCGGCAGAAGGTAGAGGGGCACATTCAGGGCCAGGACCATGTCTCATTCCTGAATTGCCATATTCTTCACCAGAGTCCTGTATCGGATCTCCACTGTGACCCCGAGTGTCGGTGCTTTCTGACGATTTCACCAACTGCTCGCGAATCTTAGACACTACTTCCAGGTGTCGTTTTTCGAGATCATCCTGAACAGTCCAGGATTCACCTTGAACAAGAGTCTTCGATGTCAGGTAATCAGCGGCCTGGTTGAACTCCCGCTTCATGTGCACCAGTCGGATCGTCTGGAAACATTTCTTCAGGGTTTCACATTCAGCTAGTCTCCTTTGGAGATTAGGCTGATTACAATTAATCAGACCTTGGACTTGTTGAATCACAATTCTCGAGTCACCCACGACAACTATGTCCTGAATTCCCCTTTTCAAAGCCATTGAAAGCCCTTTAAGCGACCCGAAGTATTCGTCGTTGACGGTGACTCCATCCAGGATGTATCCTCAGGCATCCAAAACCTTCCATTCGGGTAGCTGCCACAGAATGCATCCACAGCTGCCCTTCCTTGTGGACGTTTTGGCCGCACCATCGAAACTCAGGACTACTCCGGCGTACTCTTCTGAGAGCAGTTCGACACTCACGACTGGGGGCTGTTTGACGCGCCCCTTGGCTGGAATGAGTACTTCGGCGACTTCATCCAAATGCTCCCTGGGAGTGATGCCTGCACCCATAATGACGGCTAGGCCATCCTCATCTCGACTGACCTTCCGAATTTCCAAGTCGTACTGTGAGAGAGCGACGCCCCATGGCACCAGGCGGCCTTCGGCGGTCTTGGAATTGATGACCCACTTCAACACTGAGTGTCGAGTGTAGATTATCAGCGGACATCCTTCGATCATGTTCTTGAACACATTGAGAACTCGAATTACCGCAAGGATTTCCTTCTTCGCAATATGATACTTGAGCTCGGCGTCACTCAGGACACGCCCCGTGAAACGAACAGGCTGGACAAATCCGTCATGCATCTGTCCTAGAACTGCGCACGCAGCCCACTGGTTCGCATGAGGGATGATCACAAAAGGTTTCGTTCGATCCGGGTGTCTGAGTAGAGGTGTAGACACAATCTTCTTCTTCAGGATCTCGAAAGATTCCTTCGCCCGAGACAAGTCTCGTCCTGCGCGCACTTGATCATCGGTCAACTCGTAGAGTGAAGCAGCTACCACGGCATAATCCTCAATGAATTTGTGGTAGTAATTCAGGGTGCCTAGAAATGACTGGACTCCTTTCAGGGTGGACGGAAATGGTAACTCCTGAATGCCTTTTATGATCTTCGGGGTGGCACGTATCCCTTCAGCACCAATCTCATGAGAGAGGTATGGAATGACACGCTTCCCGAACTCGCTCTTAGGCAAACTAACTGAGATACTCCAGTGCCGTAACCGATAGAGCAACGCATCTAGATCACCACATAATTGATCCCACGTGGCCGCCCC